CCCCTAACCTTAAACCCCGAACCCTCCCTCCCTTGGGTTCCACTCGGCTAGTCTTGCCTGCAATGATAGGTGATCATTCTATCGGACAAGCTAGGTGGCCTTAAACCCTAAACCCATAAGCCAAAGCATCCACATGTGCTAGCTAGGGTCAGACAACTGCCTTTTATATACTAGCTTGCCCCCCTCCCCAATGTTACCTCTCTCCATCTAGGGTCCAGGCTCGGGGTTTAGACTTATGGGTTTCCCCTACTTACATTCCCCCTATAGGTAGCTAAATAATATTAATATGCTCCATCCTCGCTATACTAAAGTCTCAACTCCGGTAAGGATCAGCTTTGTACAGTTCAGAAGCTCCGTGGTGAGCACACGCATCTCGGTAAGCTTGGTAGAGCAAGCACTCATCTTCGTAGAAGCGGCCTTCGTAAGTGGCGTGGGTGCCTTCTTCTTGTCCTTCGGTTTCCCAGCGCCATTCCCAGCAACACCTTCGGGCCCACCCAAGCGCCTGGGGGTACCCGGAAATGCATCATGCGAGGACGCTGCGGCATCACGGCGAAGTCCAAGTGGCTCGTACTTGGAGTTGGCCAGGGCTCCCGGCTGCTGAAAGTAGTTCCTTAATAATAATTATTGGAAATTAGTGGGTATAGAGCTTGAGGGTTGTGGATCAGGTTGCCGGGCTTCAAGTTACACAAATAGCGGGGAAACATTATTACAAGTAAATGTGGTCACGTAACATGAGTTGCTTTGTACCCTCAGGATCCAGGTCAGCCTCCATCTTGAAGGTGCCCTCAACTTTCTCTTCTGTCTCATCCTCCCACTCCATGCTATCCCATACCTTGAACAGTTCCCACTCCTTAGCTGTACATATACTTGCTGGCTATATAGCTAGCATAGGTTATTGACCCATAACTGGACGTACATAGACTTGGGGGACCCGCTGGGCACATAGAAGGTGCTGTACTTGGAGGTTCGGGACAATTATAACCCAAATATAACTGTATACTTATAACCCACTTATAATAACCCAATTAGGGGACTAGGGGGCTTATCACTACAAATTATATTATATGTATGTTGGGTTGTAATTACCCCGAACCTCCAGGTAGCCAATTATTTGAAACCAGAATAGGCTATGGCCATGAAGCAAAGCGTCTTCATTACCAGGAAGTTCAGGATGTTCCCGGTACCACTCTGCACCCAACTCCTTCTTTCTTGACCGGATATCCTTCGCAAGCGCCCCTCCATACTGAAGCTTGAGATCACGGAAGGTCTTTTCCACATATTTGCCTCTCTTTCGGGAGGCCTTCCCCTGCGTGATATTCATAACCAAACTGGATTTTCCCCAGTCCTCATTGCTGTTGAGCCAATCCTCAAAGAGCTTCGAAATAATCGCCCGATCTCAGCAGTAGCATAGAAGAATTGTAAGTAGATAAACCCTAAACCCTAAATATCTACAATACCGATGTATATATACCTATATACTCTATAATTAAATAGCTTAATAGAATGCAACGGAACCCCCAAAGGGACCACAATTCTGAGAACCCCCATACAACCTATTATGCTAGACGACATTATAACAGTTTATGGGGCTCATTACCGCTATGTACAGGTTCAAAATTAATGTAATCAACCTCAAATTTTGCAAGCCATAAACTGCGTGCTAGTATTCGAGTCCAAGATAAGGCCTAGACCCCAATAGATGACAAGAAGCTGTAGCGCTTGCCCTTGGCGGCTTCCAAAACCACTTTCGGACACGAAGCACCTTGAATGCTTTGAACGTTACAAGTTTAATAACAATATATATTCAACACAATGAAAAGGGCAATCTTAAGTGAGAAGATCAGACAGGCTACTGTCAAATGAACGATTGAAGCGCATACGGGCGTTGTGTGCCAAACGACGATCTCGCTCATCAGCAGTCTCATACTTGCCGTCAGGTCTCTGGAATAACACACCCTGGTTGACCAGCTGAACCCTCTGCGCCTCCTGACAAATTCTACAACATCCAAACACTCAGAACCCTTGTACATGAACTCACTCTACTCCCCAAATCAGAAATCCCCTTGCACATGGCCTAGGGCTTTTCAGATTTATGTGGGTTTAGGGTCTAGGGCTTCAGGGAATACCCCTAAACCCTAAACCCCTATAAACCGCAAACCCTAAAGCGTTTAGGTAGGAAGTAAATAATCCCCAAAGTACTGGAGCTACAGTGAACCTGGCCTCAAGCTGGGTTGTGTCCTGGCGATTCAGGCAGTCACGTGCAAGTTGCACAGCTGTTGTCTGCGGAGGCTCGGAGAACGGACATGGAACCTGGGAGACAGGGAATGAGGCTTAACAATTATTAGGGTATTTGGGTTTGAACATTCAGCCCATTACCAGGTATATCTAGATCTGGGGAGCTTGCCGGGTGGATGCTAAATTGCCTGAAATCACATCATTACGAGAAGTTATGGCAAAAGTAATGCCGCTGTAGCACAGCTGATAGGGTACCCTGCTCGTTAGCGTTTGGGTTCTGTCCATCCATCCGTGGGGTCACACCTGGCACCTCTAGAAGCTGCTGGGAAGCGGGTTTCTGTCCATCCATTCGCGGGATCACATCTGAAGCTGGGTTCTGTGGAACGACTTCGCCTTTCTGGCAATCCGTGCCCCCAGTCTCACCATTGCCTTTGGCGCACTCAGCACCCATGCTTAGCAACTCCATCTCCTGCTCAATGTCCTGCATCACAGCATTCCAGGTTTCCTCGGAGCCCCCTGCTGCTGCAGACTTCTGCAAAAGATGGGTCTTGTGCCAAAACGCCACCAAAGCCTCCATGTCCACCTCCAACTGCTTCACTGCTGCAACTGCTTGCTCCCGAGCAGCAGCCACAAGCTTCTCACCAGCCTCTTCCTGCTGGCATCTCCATGCGTTCAGCTTGTTTAAAAGCTGGGCGTGGGCAACCACAACATGCTCCTGACCCGATGACCCTAACTTGCTTAGGGCTCTTTGGGTAGCAAGGTCGGCATTGGCCATCCTTTGATCCAAGGACTCCTGCTCCTCTCGGATTTTTGCCCTGCTGGCCCGAACGTGGCCAAGGCTATCAAACATCTTCTTGCCTAACATAATATCCTGAGAAGGGATGTCCACGGCAGCAAATGCCCGGTCGCGGTTGATGTGGTACCAGCCTAGAATCTCCTGGCTCACCTTGCACATATCTGGGGCCCCGTCACCACATTCATCGAAAAGGCGGCCCAAGCACATTTGCAAGACCTGCAGCTCCTTCGAAAAAAGAAATGTGGTGCTGGCTGCCCCCACACCGCTCCAAGACTCAAGGTCATTGAGGTCAAGGTTCTCCAGGCTTGGTCCCCATGAGAGGGTGGCGCAACGATCCATCTCAGAACCTTATTATATGGGAATCTAGGCAACAGGCAACAACAATTGGCACAGGAAAGGTGCATGGCAGTTAGCTAG